CCACCCCCATCCCCCACAGTTCTGGGGCCTTTGCCTGTTGACTGTTCGTGCATCCTTGCCGGATGCCCTGTTACAGCCTTGGCAGTGTAGCTAGACTGCGTGGGTTTGCATCAGGGCTCCGTTGCTCCCTAGCTGTGTGACTGTGGGCCAGTCACTCAACCTTCCTGGGCACCAGTTTCCTCATATACAGATTGGGGATAATTATAGCCACTGCCTCGTGGGGTTGCTGTGTGGATTGAGATAATCCAATAAGAGCAAAACTACCAGGTTGGGCCAGATGGATCAGGACCTGCCCTTAAGGACCCCAAACTGCAGCTGAGTACAGATGTCAGGGAATTAGAGTCATGCAGAGCAGTTGTCAGTCAGGTGGGAAGGGAGACAAGTGGCCATTTCCTGAGCATCTAGCCCTGAGAAGAAAGGGTGGTGAGGAGACTGCCTCACAAGCAGGGCGGCTCCCACATTGTGGAAGTCATGGGGCAGATGTGGGGCCCACATCTGTCTGAGCCAAAGGCCACTCTCTTCCCGTCAGCCCTTATGGCCTTCTCATACTTGGGCCTCAGCTTCCCAATCTGTAAAATGGGGATGGGGTCCCCCTGCAGGCCTCCTTCCCTAGCAGCCACATGACCCACTCTTGGCAGAGAAGTACCTCATGCAAGACTCGGGGAGCAGAACCCCACTGAGGAAAAAGTCCCAGCCACTATTGCCCAAGAACCTACAACAAGGGCAGAGGCTGGGAGGCGAAGGGGAAGGCAAAGCCCCACATGGCTGCCAGTCCCTGTGCAGTGGCCCGGCCTGCCAGAGCCAGCAGCCTGGCCACCCCCTGTTTGACAGGAACCATAAGCCTCAGCCCAGCACATCTGATGCTTGTTAAAGCCTCTGGCGAGTGGAACTAGGGTCCCCAGGCGGTGATCTCTGGGGAGAGGGAAGGGCACTGGGGCATACCAACCTGACTTTTAGTCCCAGCACTGCCACTAGGAACTAAAAAAACCAGTTGCCATCAAGTCAACTCTGACTCATGGTGACCCCTGTGTGTCAGAGTAGAACTGTGCTCCATAGGGTTTTCAGTGGCTTAATTTCAGAAGTAGATTGCCAGACCTTTCTTCTGAGGTGCTGCTGGGTGGACTCAAACCTCCAACCTTTCTGTTAGCAGTCGAGTGCTTTAACTGCACCACTCAAGGACTCCCAGAACTCTAACAACAAGTGTAAGCAATACTAACAGTGGATAATGTTTATTGAGTGCTTACAATGTGCCAGGCATGGTCCTAAGTACTCACTTAATCCTCCCAATAACTCTGTAATCTAGGTATTGTTAGTAGCCTCAATTTGGGAAAAGGAAACTAAGGCACAAGGAGGTTGCCAGGGTCACATGGCTAGTAGGAGGCTGGAATTTGGAGCCAGGCAGTCCGGCCCCAAGAAGCTCTGGTGGCACAATGGTTAAGAGCTTGCTGCTAACTGAGAGGTTGGCGGTTTGAACATACAAGCCACTTCAAGGGAGAAAAAACCTGGCAATCTGCTCCCATAAAGATTACAGCCCAGGAAACTCTATGGGGCAGTTCTACTCTGTCCAATAGGGTCACTATGAGTCAGAGTCGACTCCAAGGCACACAACAACAGTCAGGCCCAGAACCCCTACTATTAACCACTTACACTACAGTGGCCTCTCCTAAACTCTTGACTCAGTGGTCTGACTTTGGGCCAGTCTCTTCCTCACTCTGTGCCTGGGACACAGTGGGTACTCTGCCAAGGGACTAACTCCCTTCCCAACCTGAGAAGAGCCACATGGGTCTGGGTTGGGGAGGGGCTCCTCTGAGGCACTGGGCTGACCACCCGCTCCTGTAAGCGTGCCACCCTTGACCATTTTCAAAGCCCTTTCATCCCCTGTGATGGGCCAGCCCGCCTGGGAGGGGCGGGCTTCCTGTTGCCAGTAGGTGGGCAGCCTGAGGCCTGCCCATCCTGGAGGAGGTGGTGGGCAGACACTGGCCCCTCTGCCCATAGCTCAGCCACACTGCCCATCACCTTCAAGTGCCTGCTGGAGAACAACCACATCGACCGGCGTATCGCCCGCTTCGTGCTGCCTGTGGGTGCTACCATCAACATGGACGGCACCGCGCTCTACGAGGCTGTGGCGGCCATCTTCATTGCCCAGGTCAACAACTATGATCTGGACTTCGGCCAGATCATCACCATCAGGTGCACCCCTGCTGGCACCCCACACCCTGTGTAGATGAGGGGGAAGGGGCCTGGAGGGGCCTTCAGGATTCTGAGACTTCCAGACCTGATGGGGTCTCAGAGCCCCAGAGAGGTCAAGGGGCTCACCCCAAGCCATAGAGCAAGTCATCACAGGGGCTGAGACCGGCCCCTGGCCTCCATGACTCCTGGCACAGGGCTCCTTCCTTACTGCTGCCTTGTAGCCTGTGGGCAGGCAGAGGGCCGAGAGGGGCAGGAGCTCCAGGAAGCAGGGCTGGAGGAGGTCATAGAGTTTGCACGGGTTGGGGAGGGAGAGCATTGAAGGCGGGACATTGTGAGCAGAGGCCAGAGACAAGATGGATGAACCTCAGAGGTGTGGCTGGAGCTGAGGGAAGGGTGCAGGGGTGAGGGCAGAGGTGAGGAGAAGGCTGCACACGCCAGCTGGTGGGCACAGGTTTGACCCTGTAGACCAGGCCCCAGAGAGAGGCCACAGCACAGCTCTGCCGGTGGAGAGCCAGAATCTCTGCAAAGCTCTAAAGCTGCAGCTTTCTGGGAACCTAGAGCCAGCAGCTCCAGACACGGGGTTTCCACAAATTCTTAAGAGCTTCTCCTGAGGCCAGGGATGGAGGCTCCGTGGGAGCTGTGGGACCTTGAGCAGGGATGTTGGCGTTCTTAACAACCCCCCTGCCCGGCTGGCTGTTCCCAGAGGCCCTGGCATTCCAGCCCCTCCTTGGAGCCAGGCAGGCCCTGACTTTGTGCCGGGTCCTCCCCTTTTCTCCTCCCCTCTGACCTTCTGGCAGCATCACAGCGACTGCGGCCAGCATTGGGGCAGCCGGCATCCCCCAGGCTGGGCTCGTCACCATGGTCATCGTGCTCACCTCCGTGGGACTGCCCACTGACGACATCACCCTCATTGTTGCTGTCGACTGGGCTCTGTGAGTGGAGGTTGTCGTCCCCCCTCCCATACCCCTCGGGAACGGGCTGGCTTCTGAGCCACAAGGCACTGCGGATTGGGGAGCTGAGTCCTTCCCCAGGTGGTCGGGGGCTGGGGAACTGCTGTGGTTTGGTACAGTGGGGAGCCCTCCCATTGACACAGACCTAGGTACATAATTTGTGGGGCCCAGTGTTCAATGTGAAAACGCAGGGCCCCTTGTTCAAAAATTATGAAGAATTTCAAGATGGCTGCAACAGAGCATTAAGCCAAGCGTGGGCCCTTCTAAGCACAGGACTTTGTGCCCATGAAGCCGGCCCTGCATCAACCTGCTTCAACAGCACCAAGGGGTGGGCTTGAGAGGTGCCAGGACACCGCCTCGACACTGGTCTCTGCCGTGACAGCGGGTCACAGCCTGTGGTGCAGCTGCGGGGGCCTCGCTCCTTTGGGCGAAGTATTGCCCTCTGCCAGCTCCCCTTATATTAAAGTGTCCAGCAATTAACCACCGCCACCTTGGCCCGCCAGGGATCGTTTCCGCACCATGATCAACGTGCTGGGTGATGCTCTGGCCGCAGGGATCATGGCCCATATCTGCCGGAAGGACTTCGTTCGGGACACGGGCACCGAGGTGATGGCAGTACCCTCCTCCACCAGCCTGTGGGGAGGCAGGAGGGTGGAGCCAAGGGTGGGTTAGGCAGGGCAGCAGCTCTTCCCTGCCTCTGGGCCTCCAGCTCTTCATCTGCTAAATGGGGTGACCAATGAATTCCTCTAACATCTATTTATTGAGCACCTACCATGGCTGGCCCTGATTTAGATGCAGGAGGAACAGTGGTGAACACAATAAGATAAAACTCCCTGCCCTTATGGAGCTGACACTCTCCTGTTTAACAGCCACGCTTCAATAGGCACATGCGGTAGGCTGCCCCCACTTCACAGGGAAGGAAGCTGAGGCTCAGGCAGGTGAGACCCCTATCCCTTCACTGGACCCTGTAGGTCAGGTCCCTTCCTCTATTAAGGCAGCCCCAGGAGGCGGCAGGACAGCTTGGGAACTGGGTGCAGAGAGGCCCTGTGATCTACGAAGGTCACACAGCACATCTACAGGAAAACCAGTCACATGGTTCCCAGCCCTGAGCCCGTTCTGCTCCACTGAACTTCAGTCCTCCCTAGTGTCTAACCTCAGTCCTTCCTGTTGCTACCAAGGCCCATTTCCCCTCTCCAGAAACTGCTGCCCTTTGAGACCAAGCCAGTGAGCCTCCAGGAGATCGTGGCGACCCAGCGCAATGGTTGTGTGAAGAGCGTGGCAGAGGCCTCGGAGCTGACTTTGGGCCCCGCCTGCCCCCACCATGTCCCCATTCAGGTGGAGCAGGATGAGGAGCCAGCCACTACCAGTCTGGACCACTGCACCATTGAGATCAGCGAGCTTGAGACCAATGTCTGAGCCTGTGGGTCTGCAGGGGCCAGGGGAGGCCTCCAGGGTTAGGGGATTGATCTCAGTTGCCAACATTTCCTGAGCAGACGATGGGGGGGCCAGGCTCACACTTTCTTGCACCCTTGAGAGGCTAGAATCAGCCCCACCTGACAGAACACGGAGTCTCAGGGAGATGAAAAGCTGCCTGCAGGATACCCAGCCATAGAGTGACGGGGCCCTCCACAGCCCACCCGGAGCTGCAATGGGAAGCTGCAGTTTCCACTGTGTTAGCCTGCAGGGTACAGGCAGGGCTTATTCTCCCCACTTTCTGGGTGATGGAGCAGAGGCTCCAAGAGCTGGAAACACTTGTCTGAGATCTGGGAGCAGGAAATGTCAGGGCCAGGACTCAAGTCTTTCACACCCAGGCTACTCCCTCCAGAAAGACAGGGCACTTTTGGGGTCAAGAGAGGCTCTGCCCCTCTCTAGGAGCCCCCACATCCACCACTGCTCTCACTTGATTAAAGCATAATCACAGTGGCCTGGTTTCTGCCCCAGCTGGGTCCCACCCAGGCCGGGCCCCCCCATCATGTGGCCTCAGCCAAATAGCTCTCCCCCAGGACGGGCCTTCCACGTGCCACAGTCCACGTGGGCTCTTGCAGTGCTCATCCTATGTGGAGACAGAGACGCCTTCACTAAAGGGCCCTTAGAAACATCCAGGCCAGCCTCCCACTGGACAGGTGGGCAAGCTGGGACCCGGCGGGGAGGCCTGGCCTGGGATGCTGGGTCAAGCTGCCAGTGTGGCCCTGGGCTTGGCTCTCCTCAAAGCCTGGGTGGCAAGTCAGAGTTAGGCTTTCTATTCCTTCCTGTGTTTGCAAATTCAGTGGTCACTAAATAAAGGTATTTTGTTTCTAAAGTCTTGTGGGCTTTTAGTAGAGACCATACTCTAGCCAGCAGTTCAGTACTGGCCAATCTAGGCTGGCAGAGCGCAGACAGCCTGCTGGGGCAGACAGAGTTTGCACAGCCTGTCCAGGTGGCCAGAACACGAACAGGTTGTTCATGTGGTCAGAGCGTGGACAGGTCTGTCTGGGCTATTGGTGGGTGGACAAGCCTGTCCGGGAAGCCGGAGTGCAGATGAGCCTGTCCAGACGGCCAGAGTGAGGACAGGCCTGTACCAACTGTCATGTCCAGAGGGGCCAGGGTGCAAACAGGCCTGCCGGGGACCTGTCTCAGCAGTCACATCATGGCTGGGCCTTGTCCAGGTGGCCCAAGTGTGGACAGACCACTCTGGCCCAGGCCTGGGCTCTGCTCTGCAGGCAGGGCCCTGAGATCAGTCCCCACAAGAGGAGCACATTTCCTCAGCCAATCTAGCTCCCGTTGGTAAACTCTTTTCTATAGGGAGGAAATGTGCCCGAGGACATATCCAGACTGTCCCTTCATTCTCCTCACCCCTCAGGGCTCCTCCAGGAGGCTTTTAGGGGGCATAGCCTTGGCCACGCAGCCTGCTCTGATGGATCTGGGGGAGAAGATATAGCATTGGGGTCTGGAAGGGTCTAGCACCATGGAGCCCATGAAGACACTGAGGCCCAGGGAGGGGACGGGCCTCCCCAAGGTCACTCAGAGAGTCAGGAGAGCACCTGTCCCCAGCCTTCTACTCCTGAACTACATCCATTCTCCTCCCAGGGCTGTGGGGTGGCCAAGACTGTCAGGAGAAGCTGCTGACTGCTGTAGTGTGAGGGGCCCAGGATCCTCCCTTACACCATGGGGCTGGGGGCTGTCAGGGCCATCCTTAGCACATCCTTCCTTTGTTAAGGCCAGCTCACCTAGGAACGGTCAGATGCCAAGCTATGGGTCACTCCCACCTTCGTGTGGACTGGCTTATTCGCCCCTTCCTATGCCACATCTCTTTGAGGCAGTCGAGTCTTTCCCACCACAAGGCAGGAATCTGCTCCTTATCAGGCTTGACAGGAGGCCCGCCAGCCTGTGCTTACACAACTCCAATAGCGGAGAGTCACTACTTCCTGGGCATCTCAAACCCCTGTGGGGCCACGCTGCCTGTCAGAGGCTCTTCCGTGCTCTGAGCTGTGTTCTGCCTCCCTGCAGCTCCTCCCCCAGACCCAGTGCTGCCCCTGTTGGGATGGTGGGCACACTGGGCATGTCTATTACCTCTTCACTAGGCAGCCCTCTGGAGACCTGGGCCCCCAAGTCAGCTCTGCTCCAACTCCCAGGCCTGCCTCTGGTCCCCTTCCCACACCAGCCATCCCCTATGGGACAGACCCATCGGAAATGCCCCCCTCAGTGCAGAGCTGACCCTCCAGGTGGGGCCTGAGCTGCCCAAAGCCGGGCAGGTCATTTGCTTGGACACCCAGTTTCTGGGGGATGCAGTGTGAGCTCACAGACACGCTGTGGGGGTCCCGTCCCCGCCCTTCACCTGCTGATTCCCTCTGAGCCGGTGGTCCACACACACCTCCAGACCTCCTCCTTACCTGCAACTAAGCCCTGTGCCACTGGATCTCTGCCTGTGCAACTGCTTTTTGGGCCCCAGAACAGAACTCTGCACCATTTCTGCTTGTCTGGACAGGGAGCCAAGGTGCTTGTCTCCTCCCCAGCCCGCCCCGTGCAGCCCAGCACCTGGCAGGAAGCATGCACAGACATTGCCACAGGCTGCAGGGACAGGGATAATGCTTTTATATTAGTTTTTCTGTAATAAGAAAAATCAGCTTTGATATTTTTATCATTTTTTTCTTAAAAAAAAGAATAAAAAACAAAGGTACCCAAAACTTTCCCATAGGCCCAAAGAATGAAGACAGTGACGGGTAGGCTATGGCTGGGCTCCTTCTGCATCCTCTGGCCCATTTCCGCAGCCTCCCCCTCACTCCTGCACCAAGGTCCCTAACAGCCCCCTGAGGCTCTCCTGTCTGGCCTCGACTAGGGCTGGCCCATCGGAGAGGTGCCTGTGGCCTTGCCAGACCATGGCAGGGGAGGGGCGCTCAGCAGAGTGACGGCCCCCAGCAGCTGGGCAGAGGCAGGGCAGGAGAGGCCAGGCAGCAGTCCTGAAGGTTCCCGTCCACAAAGGGAGGGAAAGGAACAAAAGGCAGCTTTTGTGATTCCAGAGGGCAGCAGGCACCTGGCCACAAAGGGCACGGAGATCACCTTGTGTTTTCTCCAGAGGACGGACAGAGGGATGGGCAGATGGTGAGCTGTCTTGGCCAGTTCTGGCTGGGGACAAGAGCTGTTGGTGGCATAGGCTGTGGGGGATGTTTGCACATGACTCTGTGTGTATATGTGCACATGTGTCCACAGGGGAAGGTGCCTGTGTGTGCCAGGGTGGGGTCAGACCCTTCCCCCCGAGCCTGCATGACTCAGAGGGTGTGACGACAGCTGTGGTGAGCGTGGGGCGGAGAGTGTGACCACGGGGAGGGGATGGCGCAGCTGGCTGCGTGTGTGGCCGTGCTGAGCATGTGCGGGTGTGATGTGGTGTCTGCACGTGTCTGGGTCTGGGGCACACTGCAGGAAGGGGTGGGGATGTGAGACTGTGTGTTCAGCCTGTATCTGTCAGGACGCCCGTGGTACAGCGTGGGTGTGTCGGATGGCGTCTGTGAGCTTGGCTGATGGAGGGTTCACAGGCACAAGCGTGCACTGCAGAAAGGAGTCTGGCGGTCCACTGTCCTGCAGAACACATAGGCGGGTCAGCAGCAGGCCAGGGCAGACCACCCCACAACCAGCCTGGGAGAGGTGGATTAGAGTGGAGGGCAGCCCCTGCTTAAGGGGGCTCTGAGAAGGCTAGGTTACTGTGGGCAGGCGGGGGGCTGCCCACAGGGAGGTGCTGGTGGCCAACACGGACAGGGACGGTGGCCTTGCCTTTGGGTCCTGGAGGCAGGCCCTCTCCTCCTGGAGCCTCAGCATGGCCCACTGGTCACTCCCTGGGGTCCCTCCCAGGGCCCTGCTCAAGAGATCCGACCATGGCCATTGTCCTCCAGTGGGGCAGATTCTCTCCCACCTCACGACCCCACAGCCTCCTCAGGAGGGCAGTGGCATCCTCACTGAATGGCCAGTCACCACTTTGCAGACCCCTGGCTCTGTCTGAGGGCTCCAGGACAGGGAGGAGAGGGTAATCCCAGTGCTGCCCAGGGCCTCCCCCATGCACGCTCTTGTCTCTACCATGCACCCTCAGGGGATCTCGGCACCCACCTCAGGCCCCTATCCTAGCATGATTCAGTCTGAAATCTTACCCTCTGATATCACCCTCCGACCACCCTCCTCTCCTCCTGGCTACTCACTACCAGCATGTCCCTTCTCCAGCAACCGTCTCCAGTGCCCTGCCCACCAACGCCTCCGGTCTGAGTCTCCTTCCCTACCCAGCCTGACCCCAGGGCCCTTGACACCAGCCGTTCTCTTGCCAATGCACTCAAACAACCTCCTGTCTCCTTGCCCTCCTGTCCCACGCACCTGGCCAAACCTCAGCCGTGGATGGATCCAATCATCCACCTTCATGCCCACCCCAGTCCATTGAGCACCCCACCCCCACCCCCCCACTGCATGAAGGGAAGAGAAGGCTGGTGGCTGACGGCATGGCCCTCCACCAAGCCACTCACGGGCCTGTGACTGCAGCCGCTTGGTCCTCCGTTCCCTGCCACAGTGGAGGAAGCATTGGTCCTCCTGCCACAGCCAGTCCCTCCTACTGTTTCCACAGGAATCTCTCACACCCAGTTCTCGCCTCTTATATCTCCAACTCCTTCCTCCCTACCGGCCCCTCCCACCAGCACTGAAACCAGCTCTAGACCTTAAAAACGGCATACAGTGAAATGAGCCCTTCCTGCACACCACACCCTCTCTCTCTCATCACATCACAGTTGAACTTTTCAAATATGTTGTCTACACTCCCTGGATCCACTTCCTTTCCAGCCACTCTCTCAGTCCCCATCGCCCCCCTGAAGCCGCTCCCTACAAAGTCGTGGATGACCTTCCTGTGGGTCAATCTGGTTCAGGGCTCAGCTCCCTTGGCTTCTCAGCAGCACTGGCACAGCTGATTGCCCACTTTTGGAGAAGCGCGTGCAGGTCTGCATACTGTGCACATATGTGTACGCATGTGTATGTACATATGTGCATGTGAGGGCCTGTGTGGCCATGTGCTCACGCACATACATGTTCTGCTCATGTGACCACCACAGAGTGCATGCGTGTGTACGCATGGTTATGTGTGCACACCTGTGTGGCATTGTGTTCTCCACCTGTGTGCATGTACATGGGTGTGTGGGTGCATGGGTGTGCATTTGTGTGTTATGCACATGTGTGGATGCTTGTCTTATATATGTGTGTAAACGCCTGCTCCCTTGGCTGTCTACGATTTTCCTGCCTCCTTTCCAAGCTGCTCCATCTCAGTCCCCGCTGCGGGCTCCCCACTCCGCCCTGGCCTCTCACTCACTCTCCCTGGGCAAACTCAGTCCGCCTCCTGCAGCATCAATGACTATTTCAAGACTGGCGATTCCTGAATCCCCATCTCCCACCCAGAACTCACTCCTGAGCCCAGATCTCACTCCTGAGCCCAGATCCACATAACCAATCAACTCTGGGCAGCTTTTCAATGCCCTCAGGCCTCCCAAACTCAACGATTTCCCACCAAACCTTCTCCTCCACCAAATACTACCATCCACCTGAATTCCAAGCTAGAAACCCAGGCCTTGTCCTCTCCCTCACTCCATGCCCAGCAGGATGATTCTGGCCTCTTGCATCTGCCCCCAAGCCCCCTTCCCATCCGTTTGCTTGTCTCCATTATCATGCCCCACCCTATCCTCTCTGCTTGGAGTATAAAGCAAGCCTCTATCAAAGCACCCCTCACCGGATTATAGTGCCCTGGCATGGGGCGGCCACCCTATAGGCTTGCTGCTATAACCCCACGCCTCACTCAGTGTCTGGCACACATCAACTGCTTGTATATGTCTGCAGAATGAATGGATGAAGCTGGGGACAGAGGGTGAGGAGTTGCCAGAAAGATCCCAGACTACGGACAGGGATGGCAAACTGTGGTGAGGAGCAAGGGGTACCCCCCACACTGATCACCTACCTGGGTCAGATCCATTTCACCTTGTCACTATCTCCCTTCATCTTCCTCCTCTTCCTCCTCCTCTTCCTCATCTTCCTCCTTCGATCGGCCATGGTCCTTGGAAACGTGACCAAATTCAAAGTTGCCTTCAATGTCCAAGACCTGCAGGTGCTTCAGCTTCCGGAAGGCGCTTTCCACCACAGAGCCCACGGCCAGCTTGTTGAACCTGTGTGACATCCACGTGTGGGTCACTGCCAGGAGCCCGACCCTCAGAGTCCTCACTCCTACCACTTCAGAAGGCAAAAGGGGAGGGAAGAGGAGACAGCAAGTGCAAAAAGGCTGGAGGCTGGAAAGCAAGATGCATCACGGTAAGTGCCAGCTGTTTGGGGTGCTACAGCTGGGAGGGGGCCGCAGCTGATGATGACTGGTCCTGCTCCTCTTAGCTTCCCCATCAGTAAGGTGCACAGCCTCCCTCTGCGTATGTCCTTGCTCTGACTGTATGATGTGTCTACCCTCTGGAATTAACCCCGAGATCTGGGGCTCCTGGATGGGCAGCCTGGAGTCACCTCAGTGCCTGGAGCAGAGTGGCACAAAGGCCAGGCTGGGGACATACTCTGTGTGTGAGGAGGCAGAGGCCACAGCTCTGGTCTCAGGCCCCTCGACTCTTTTGCACCTCAGCTCCCCTGCAGGAGCCTGAGGCACAGGCCACACTCCACCCCACCCCACGTCGCCAACCCTGGGGCCTCCTAAGCCACACAGCCCTGGGAGTCGGCACCCTGCCTCTATCTGTTCTGCCCACCCTCCTCTCTGGTCTAGCTCCGATCCTCTCAAAGCAGTCAAGGGTGAGGGGGTGTTGGAGGCACTCGCTCTGGTTCTGCTGGTAGAAGCTCCTCAGTTGCTTGGGGGTCCCCCAGATCATTCCAAACCCCCATACCCAGAGCCAACGTGGGGCTGAGCATCTGCTGTCCTAGGCCTGAGACCCAGGCCAGGCTCAGCCTGGCTGGCCGTGGACACTGGCAGTCACCTGTGCTCTCTGGGCCTCGGCTTTCCCAGCTATAAACTCGAAAGGTGCTCTCTGGAGTCCCTTCCTGCCACAGTATCATCAATAATGCCCACATGCACCACTTTTTAAAGTTTATGAAGCCCTTTTACAGACCTTTGAACCTCGCCAGGCCTGGCCAGGACAGTCCCCATCTCTGAGTTGTTGTTAGGTGCCGTTGAGTCAATTGCGGCTCATGGTAACCCCACGTGTGCACAGTAGAACTACTCCATAGGATTTTCAAGGCTATGACCACCAGGCCTGTCTTCTGAGGTGTCTCTGGATGGGTTTGAACCACCAACCTTTTGTTGGCAGTCGAGTGCTTAACCATTTGCACCACCAGGGCTCCTTCTACCCTTGAGAGCTGAGGAAATGGAGGCTCAGTGGGGTCTGTGCCATAGCCAGGGTTACACAGCCAGTCAACAGTGAAGTCAGGCTTTATACACTAGCCTCTACATTCAAGCTCATCCCAGAACCTTGACTATTCCACTGGAGACGTGGGGTGCCCCAGGAGGCGTGCACAAGGCACGGGGCTGGGGGGCCTCCTACCTGAGAAAGATCCCCTTGAGGTTGGGTGTGGAGGCAAAGGCATTGGCAGGCACGGTACTAATCTTGTTGTTCTGCAGGTACAGATACTCGAGTGACTCAGGGAGCCCCTCAGGGATCTCTGTGAGCTGATTCCCAGCGATGTCCAGCAGCTGCAGGGGTG